AAGTAATTGGTCAAGGTAGAAGTTTTTTTCCTTCACAACAATCGATTAAGATAGTAACATTTAGAACTTGGTGAATTTTACCACTCCTTTCCAATTTCTGAAATTAAGGATAATATCTTTATACTATTCCAGCCCCCCACCAACCCAATCAATACACCCAATCAATCGACTATATGCACATTGCACATTCACATTTTTGATGTATATGCCAAAATTTATAAAGAAACACAAGCACATGTGTGTTAGTTAACGATGTGGTGCACCTTATTGATTTTTATTGATGATTATTTGAAATTTAATTGTGTTTCTTTTTTTGGGGTAATTATGATCTGTGTTTGTCTGTGTGTGTTGTACACATGATGAAATTTACATCACTAACATATAATTGTTCCGAGTTTTTGGATCATTGCCGTTATCATTGTTATTGATTTATTATTGGTTATTATGGGATCTCTTACGGTTCTCCTTTTATTGTTTTACTTTTATCTCAATCTTTTTAGATGGATTCTACAAGTAGCACTAAAGTGAGCAAAAGTGAAACGTGCGATCTGGAAACAGCATTTTAAGCATACCAATCAGCTCAATATATATTACATATAAATTTGTATATGTATTTACTATCGACTTGTTATACGCATCGTGTATAATTACAGTTTTATCCTCTGCTTCTGCCACTGTTGCTGTTGCCTTTGTGTTCGTTCTTCTCTGTGGCCTTGTTTTTATCCAGTGTGGTGTTTCTTTTGCTTCTATCTTACATATATATTTAGATAAATCATCATCTTTGTGATGCTAAAATGTGATATATAATAGTTGCGCTAACACTTTGATTTTTCAGCTATGTAGAAAGAAATTGAGTGAAAAAACGTTGAACAGGGCGATGATCTATATAACTTATGTGATGATTATGTACACATTGTATTCACTAAATACTTAACTACCTATTCTTATCTTCTACAAATACACACACCATATACAAGTACATACATACTACTACTGTTACACTACTGAATTTAGTTCAATCACTAGTATTATTAGTTAATTATAGTTTGATTTTTTAATTAACCTGTTACTATTGTTGTTATTTACTTATTTATTTATTTTATTTATTTATTATTTTATTGATTTATTCATTTTTTCTCGGAGTACTCATTCATAGTCATTTTTTTACAGAAAATGTGCAAATGAATTGAAAAAAAACTGTTATAATTTTTTCTTTAGTTGAAATGATTATGTTCAATAATGACACTTACACACACCCACACTACGCACGAACGCACGCACGCACAAAAGGTGTATTTATTGATTTTTAATTTCTGTTTCTTGATTGTTTTAACTTGCTCTCTCCCCCTCTCTCTCTCTGGCCTCTGTTGTCTTGTTTTTCTTTACGTGTACTGCTGCTTCCCTTAGTCGATGCATCGCATCTTGCAAAGACCACCGATGTATGTTTCTGTATATATATGTATGTATGTGTATCGTTGGTGTATATGAGTGAGTGTGTTATAGGAATTTTTTTAAAAATCTTTTCTTAAGACAACCCCACTGCATATAAAAGTGCTGTGTTTAATATTTTATGTATGCAACAAATTTTATTTATTTATTTGTGCATTAAAAGAGCTATTCATGATTGATGTCTTTCCTTCTTTGATTTCTTAGCTTATTACCAACCAACCACCTCTTGACTATATTTCCAGTGTACACACTTGTACATGTGAAACAGAAATATATACACTCATCCAGCTGAGTGAGTGTATGCAAAAACAATGACACTGCAGCTTAAACTTTGACTATAGAATGTTGTGTTGTTTTGTCATCACATTTGATCTTGCATAATCAATTTGTTGTTTTTGTACTTTCATTTTCTATCTGATTTCTTTCATTTCATGATCAAAATATTACACAATGTACATTTATATGCATGTGTGTGTGTGTGTACAAATACCTTTGCAGTACAGTACAGTGTCTTCACTTGTATTCTTGACTTTAGCCATTAAGTACTATGGCTGTTGTGTTTAGTTTTGATTCCTTGTGATGAGCTGATTTCTTCTCATGACACAGTCTGCTGCATTAAGATGTGTGTGTGTCGTGTGTGTACATTCATTCAGTGAAAAGGAGCTTTCTCATATTCTTCCTCCTTTTTTTCATTTACCACTTTCTCCTCTTTGAATAGCCTTTAACTTCCGACATTACAAAAAAATATATTCTACATTATTGTGTACAATCATCATTCCTATTATAATAATAATGAACCTTATGTGTACATAATATCTAATACTCATATGTCATCATTACTATTTTTTATTTTGGTGAGTTACTCTTCTCCCGCTCTCTCTCTCTCGTTGTCTGTCTGTTTGTCTATCTCTTGTATTCACTCCCCCCCCGCTCTTTTATATCCTCCTCATCTTGACTTGCTTCTTACATCATTACCGCCTTCCTTTTTTTCTTCTGCATTATATGTATGGAATGTGAAGAAAAACGAGAACTTAACAGTAGAAATCTCTGTATTTATAAAACGCAGTTATACACGTATGTGTTTGTATCTACTATGCGACTACTATTTGCTGACAAAATTTCTTCTCCATTTTTAATTTTTATTTATGCAATACAACAATACAACAGTTTGTAATGTAAGCTTAAACTTGACGTCCATATATATATATATATATATATATATATATATATATGATGTACAATTTACTAAAAAAGACTATATATAAGAAATAAAGAAATTAATTAACTTGTGAAGATAAAAACAGCCGATTCAATCAATTTTAATCAATGCTTATAATACTTTTAAGAGAGAATACACTTGGTTGAAGAAGTATCAGTGAGAAATGTAAAAGTAGCCTCCTCTGTTTATGCATATGTTTTATAATTATTAAGGCATGAAGGTGAACCAAAGTCCTCCTACTATCACTTCACCATATACGTACGTTTCAATATGGCGAAAATATTTATTCAGACATTTAGAAAAAACCAAAAAAAAATTGAGCAGAGAATCGCCTATTCGATAATCGTTATGTCGTCTTTCCAATTTTTATCATGCTGTAACAACAGAAGACAAGGGCCAGGCAACAGATCGTTTATTAAGGAAAATCAACACATATTAATAGATTTTCATGTACATTATTGTAGATTATTGTTAGTAGAAAATACAGTCTTTTGATTGGTTGTTTCTCACAGAAAGTTAACCTTGCATCTCTTGTGGCTGTGTCAGATCATCCATATGCTAACTGTGTGCGCCTACACAAAGCCTTTGTTCTCATTTTCTCACCACCAATATTGGGGACATAAACATTGACGTCAATTACTGTCTACCAATTTCGGCTAGCAGCCAGCTCTCACCACAACAGGAGTTCATCAATTAGCTTTAAAATTATGTTGTCTTTCCAACTTTTGTTATGCTAGTACACACATGGTACCAGCAATAAAGTTATTCATGAAACCCTTAATTAATTTAAACAAAAGAGTTTTTTCTAACTCATTTTTGTTACACATGTTAATCAATTTGACATTAGATTTTTCGAGTATTCTTGTTGATGAGAAAAGTAAACAAAGAAAGGTTATACGATAAACTAGTTTAAATGAATAAGATAAATTTAATAAGTTACCATAGTGATCAATATAACATTAAATAACTTACTTGAGTAGATGGTAATAAATAACCTAAGAATTTAGGCAATAAACCATCACTGGCCATTGCATAGACCACTCTCTGCATAGCATACGTACTTGTAAATAGACTTGCACTTAATCTAAGTAGCCAACCAATTCCTGTTATATATGTGGCCCATTCATAATCACGAATATGAAAAGCAGATGTGAAAGCAGCTTGTCGATCCACTGTCCACCATGGTACAAAAAGTGTCAAGGCTAGACTAGCCAACAGAAACAGGAGTGTAACCACACCAACTGATACACCAGTAGCAATTGGCATTGATCTTTTCGGATTCAACGCTTCTTCACTGCTCACTGTAATAGCATCAAAGCCAATAAATGCATAGAAACATGTTCCAGCGCCACCAATCATACCTCCAAATCCAAATGGAAATAGACCACCATGACACTGGCTGGTGCAAATTCTGAACCATGTTTATTCGGTCGTGAAAACATAATGCAAGTGGTTAAAATACTGACCACTAAATTTAACAGTGTTCAACATGGCTGATAACTTTGGACCACGAAATAGTATTAAACCAAGGACAATGATTAACAGAGAGCCAATAAAGTCAGGATAGTCTCCAAGGAATTCCACATGCGATGGAAAACTATTAAAAGAGAAAGCAACAGAAATAAAATACTTCACTGCTTACTAGCTGAACTGAATTCATACACGATATACAAACAGAGTATTAATGATTATGTAAGGAGTGATTCTAATGAAGAAAACAGTTGTAATATCAATCAAAAACTAAGCAGCTGACTAATGTTTAACAAAGGCCAAATACTATAATAAAGAAACACTTGTTTTGAATAAGATTTTGGTATGAATTAGTGATAACCAGAGTGAAATTCCAGACAACATCTTTGAATTAATAGCGATAGAACAGCGGTTTCAGTCAATATAAGGAATATGTCAAAGGAAAACCAACTGATAGCTCATATAAAATGATGCATGGCATAAAATCAAGGTTAACCTTATAGAGATGAGAAATGCATATTAACTACACAGAATTTTATAGTGAAAATACTCATTCAGACATTTAGAAAAAAACAAAAAAAAATTGGGCAAAGGATATCCTTTTCGATAATTTCCTCTTCTGGCTTTACAGTTATATATATTGTTTATATACATAGGGAAACGTTAGAAGACGAAAGACTTGGTAAAGGAGCGTCTATCAGGAAATTGGTATCTCTATATAGCCAAATTATGTACACTTTATCTTCAACGCACCATTTGCACAGATCTTCGTGTTGTGCTACTTCTGGCCTTCATATTGTGTTTCTTTGTGGTCCTTTCACGTCTCCCATGTATCTCCACAACTCTGTATCACGAAGAAAGTCTTTTTACACACTACTGACAAATCTTATCAGTAGCACTCACCACAATAGAACACTCTAGAATAATTGTCAATAACGATATTGGTGTTTTTTAAACAACATCGATTTGTTAAGTAACATCAGCGGAATTACAGATGCATAAATTATAATAAGCATAAAAATGTAATAGCGAATAGAAATTTCCACAACAACAACAATAAATCCATGATTCGACGTATCTTCCTTATTCACCAATGTACCGTTTTCAGAAACAGTAGACCTTGTATGCGAAGAACTCATAAGGCGAAATATCGATGTTGGCATTCCTATTATCTTTTATAAAAGTACTTCTCTTGAAATGCATTGTGAATGTTCATTTTTTATTGAATAAGGAACTATACAGACAAATTGGTGATGTGGCAATGGGGTCACTACTAGGACCGATTCTAGCCGACATTTTCCTTGCGAAACTAGATAATAGGCTTTTGAAAGATGTAATTGATGAACTAGAATTCTACTGTCGGTACATGGATGATACATTTTTGATTATGAAAAATGAGGATGAAGCAAAGAACATCCTTGTTGAAAAATTTAACGATGCTCATACTGCAATAAATTTTACCATCGAGAAAGAAAGAGACTCTAGTATTTCATTTCTAGACGTCCTTATGACCAGAAAAGAGGATGACACAATAAGAAGAAGTGTATATAGAAAACCTACATCAACTGGTCAGTATACTCATTTTTTCAGCTTCGTGCCTTTAAAATACAAACGCAACCTAATAAAGTACTTGGTCCACAGAGTAAGAGCAATCTGCTTGGATGAATGTCTTAATTGAGAGCTTAATATTATTAAACAGTTGCTGAGTGAGAACGATTATCCAGAAAAAATTCATCGATAAGAATATGAATCAAAAATCAAGACAGGCCAAGGTACCAACACTTCTGAAAAAGGCCTTATTCTTACAAATTCAGTTCCTTGGGGATAACATCAGTGAGATATGAACACAACGCCTAAGGAATGCAGTAAGAAAAGTATTCATTGCTGCGTGGTTAAGTAAGGGACAAACATTCTCTATTCTGTCTCATCTTGTGGATACAGAATAAGACTATTCTAGAATATTCCGTGTATATAACTTCTGTAGAACCAGATTAGGAAATCATCAAAAAGGATATTCTTTGCTCAGTCTTTCTGTTTTTCCTATATGTCTCATTTAGCTGACTTTGTGCTCACTGTTTATAGCGATAATTCCCACCATTTCAGTAGAGAAAGAAAGAGGAAATAAAACGTCTTCGCAAATTGGACTGATAAACCTCAAAAATTCCAAGTTTTGATGAATAATTTACCAATTTGAACAAAGCAACAACTACAGATTTAGCAGAATAAAATGGTACCATATTTTATTTCGTCGCCTTCTCTTCAGCTGCTTACAGGGCAAAAACATTATTAAATGTATCTAAATGTATCTTGCACAGAGTTCATTTTAAACAGAAATCAATCGATCAATATACACATACACTAATAATATATATATATATATATGCAATATTGAACACAATTCCGAGCAATAATAACCATACAAAATGAAAACTTTTCAGTATCTCGCATTAGGATGAAAAATATCCAGTTACCAGGGCAAAGAAAGACTGATAACTGCTTCTTTCTGAACGCACAAATCAGGTTTTAGGCGCTTGATGGAAATGGCTTCAGCAAACTTAAGGAGCATTGAACTCTTTTGCTTATTGATAATTTTGAACGACTTTTCGACGTCCACCTCATGACCCGTGTCAAGAAGATGCCTGGCGATGGCACTGCTTAAAGCATTTGTTCCTTTTACACGTAAGCTTTTTGGTACATGTTCAGAAAATCGTAGATATGCTCTTCTTTCTGTTCTTCCAATGTAACTGCTCCCGCAGATACATGTAAATTTGTATATACAGTTGGAGTTAACATGAGAAGGATATCTATCGATTTTTGATTGCACCAGAGAGCAAGTTGTTCGAAAGACGGGAACGAGCTTAGCTGCAGGATAGGCTATGGCTAGTGATGTACTCAGCCTTCTGTTGATCATCGCTGCAATGTTTTCGCCTTTATAATCAAGCTCAAAGTAGATTGGCTTTTTTCTTACTGTGATTTGTTTTTCATTTGCGACTGCAGATCTTCCATACTTGTTGATGAACCTTTGAGGGTACCCATTGCTCTTCAATGTCTTTTCAAGAAACTCAAATTCTTCCTCTAGTTTCTCTGTAGAGCATATTCTTCTCGCTCTATAGTACAGAGTCTTGACCAGTGCTCGTTTATAGCTATTTGGACAAAAGCTATTAAAATGTAAGTATTGTCCTTTCCATGTGGACTTACGATAAATTGACTTTTGAAGACTACCGTCTTCTAGGCGTTCCATGGCGATGTCGAGGAAGTGGAACTTCCCGTCACTTTCATGTTCCATAGTGAACTTGATATTGGCGTGTGCATCATTGAATAATCTTAGTAAGTGTGAAGCATGACTATCATTTTTGCACACTATAAATGTGTCATCAACGTAACGACAGTAGGAAGTTGTTTCATCGATTGCATGCTTCAACTTTGTTCTTTCAAGGTTGGACATGAATATATCTGCTAAAACAGGGCTAAGTGGACTGCCCATAGCTACACCATCTATTTGGCGGTAAAGAGTGTTGTCAAATTGGAATTGCACATCCATGGTGCACATTAGCAGTAGGCGTTTGAATTCCGACTCTGGCAGTGGGAGAAGATCAGACTGCTGACAAATGATCTCAATAGTTTCGTTGATTGGAATCATTGTGAACAAGGAGGTTACATCAAATGACACCATGAACTTATCTAAAACGTTCATGTGGTTCACACTTTCAGAGAAATGAAATGAGTCTTTCATTGTGTGCACGCCTAGCCGTTGACGAATAGGTTCCAACTTCTCCGCAAGCCAACGTGCCACCTTATGTTGGGGCGAGTTGATCATTGAAAGTATAGGTCTCAGGGGAACTTGTTCTTTGTGTATCTTCGGAAGGCCATACATGTGTGGCAAGCGGGACCCTCGGGGTTTCAAATCATTGTACGTATTGTTGTCAATCAATTTCTTCTTTAGAAGATCTCTCAGTGCGTTTGTGATACGTTTTTCGACGGCATCTGTCTTATCTTTTTGGCAATTGTCAACTTTAAACCTCAGCGGGTCATTTAACACAGCTTTCATCTTTGCAATGTAATCCTCTTTGTCCATTAGCACCACTCCTGAGCCTTTGTCAGGTCGCAATATTACAATTTTGTCATTATTCTTGAGACCTTTCAATGCTCTTAGATGCTCTTCAGAAAGGACTTTTGAATATGACATTGGAGAAATGAGGTATTGATTTGCAACGTCGACGAGCTTAGATTTGAACCAGCTCTTCTTGTCATCATCAACTGGAGTGAGGTCACTGAGCTGATAGAATAAGTTTTCAAATTGAACTGCCACATCAGTTCTTCCGACAAATTTATTTGGGATGTGAAAGTTGAATCCAAGAGAAAGTGCTTCCATTTCAATGCGATTTAACTTCAGACTCGACAGATTACAGATATAATCCTCAGGATTTTCTGGGAAACGTCACACAATTTCTCCTTTGTCAGGGATTTCGACAGAGTTTTGTAGAAATTTTCACATGTTTTCTGTTGAAGTCCTTGAAAAAAATTGATGAATTTGATCCGGCATACTATATTCAAACTATTGACGACACCATCGAAAGATCGGGCTTCAGTTCTCAATTTAGAAATCAGAGTTTCTGTTGATTCAATATGCGATTTTGTAATGCGTCGAAGATTTTTCAGAGATGGAGGTAATTTGCAAGTACGTAGTGACTTCATGAGATGGAGAGAGAAACTCCAGTTGATGATGACAAGAAGAGCTGGTTCAAGTCTAAGCTCGTCGACGTTGCAAATCAGTTCCTCATTTCTCCAATGTCATATTCAAAAGTCCTTTCTGAAGAGCATCTAAGAGCATTGAAAGGTCTCAAGAATAATGACAAAATTGTTATATTGCGACCTGACAAAGGCTCAGG